CATTTCCGTGAAAAAGACTTGTATTTTAGTTGAAACTGAACCCGCGTGTGGTTCTCTTCACCAAGTGAACCTAATAAGTATGGTCGTCGAAAAATATTTGACCATACGCTATTATCATATAGCTAAATTAGATAATTTAAAAAGTGATGTAACCTCAAAACGCACTTATTTAAAAAACAAATTCAAATAGAGGGCCATTAAGTTAGTAGTTACAAACATTTAATGGTAAAGATATGTGTTCCTGCGGTTGGCCTTAGATGCAAAGCTTCAACAATGGTCTTGCTGGCACAACAATGCAAGACGGAATAATTCTTCCCAAAATTATCTACTAAACTGTAGAAACGCTATGGGATAAAATTTTACGGTAAAGGGTACCAGCGGGATAAATTATTTAACTATGACGCGGGCGAAGCCGCCGGCCAACCTATTGTATTTTTATAAGTCGATACTATACATTAAATAATAAAACATATTTTGTAAATGCGTAATTGATTTTTAATTGATTATATTTTTTTTTACAAAAAATTTGATTCTAACTCAACAGACAACAAAACACACAATTGAAAGCACCATATTAAAATATTATAATTTATGCATTTATTAATATGACAATTTTACAGTTTTTCCCCATTTTATCGGTATAGATTCATTAGCTGATATCTCCCAGATACAAATAACGCTGGTGTAAGTCATAGTTATTTATTCTGTCACCATAGCAACCGTTAAGCGTGTGTGGTGCCTCACGCACACACGCCTGTAAAAACTGGCCTGTTTTTGTTGCATCGCTCATTGCGTGACGCGTTATCTAGAGAGTAAATAATCTAAGATTTCATTGTGATTTTTTTTAATGGGAAAACACAATATTTGTCGATCAATTCCGAGCGAAACGGGCTGATGCGTTGATTTATCGGCGTGCCCTGACTAAGCAATTTGATATAGGTAGGTGAATATAATATTCAACCTATATTGTGTATTAAATATAAAAGATAGATATGTAGAGCCACGGAATTTTGTTAAAAGTAAAAAGTAAAACTATATGGTGATATTTCGATGTATTTCTCATACACGTCAGATGAATGACTTTGTCATCAAGGAAATTTTATTAAGATAAAATTTGTTCTATACAGTATGTTATTTGGTTGTATAGTTTAGGAGATAATTTTAAATATCAAGTACGCGAGACAACAGGTAATGGACATAGCCGTTTACTTTTACGAAGTATGTTGCCACGCGGCTCACTCGCGCAGTCGGCTATGCAACGGACGTTGACGAAATTGAAATTTTTGTAACGCATATAAGAAATCCAGAATACCAGCGTGAAATAGCAGCATAATATTGCTTTTCGTATGATAAGTAAAAAGGGGCGGAATATCCTTTTTTAATGCTTTAAAATTATTCCATCTTAGATGACTTACAGAAAAAGATTTTTTTCTATACAAGAAAGCACCATATTCGAGAATTCTTATATATATTTATAGATATAATTCAGAAGAAGATTAAAAACGCACAAGCTTTGCTAGTCAAATAACTAACGATTTTGTATCATTCATGATTCGCTGGCTGATTTGGACTACGCTGATAAGTCGATATTTTACACTGAGCTAATAACTGCACAGAACATAATTATTATGATGCCGTAATTAAACGAAATGACACGGATACAAACTCACTGTTGATTACCCTTCTTGGTAAATTAAACGCTTAATCTATACAATAAATCTGTAGAAAAGCCGTGTCTATAATTCTAACATTTTCTGGAAAAAACAAGTCCACGGGACTAAATAATGGTCATTGAAGCCAAATTAGCAGTTTTTTGAATTGTTGTATGTCTGTCTGTCTGTGTATTCCCGATTCACGCAAAAACTACTGAACAGATTTGGAGCAATTTATAGGCTACTTTTTATCCGATTACAGAACTTCAAAAAAGGAGGGTTAAGTATTTTCCTTCTTTTAGACGTTAATTTCTATTTTATATGATGGATTTATGTATTCTTTTAAATAAATAAAATATTTATAAATAAAGCCTATAATTATTTAAACCGTTGCGTAATAAATTGAACTACACCGATGATCCACGTTGGACTTTTCCAAAAAAGTGCCATCTAATGTAAAATACAAAAAGTAGTAACATTTAACCTTTCACGTATAAATTAAATAATATAAATAGTTTAAATTTATGTGTTTAAATAATTTAATACACAATGATTTAAAAATACTAACGTTCAAATTTTAGTTATTTCGTTATTTCATTTTAGTTGGAATAAATAATTTTTATAAGTAGTTACTAACTAATTTCTACTTAAATAGATAATAGTGACATCTATCGAAAATTATAAAATCTAAAATGTTTCTAAGTTTAATTTGTAATATATAAAAAGTTATTAGTACGTATTAGTTTTTTAAATCTATAAATAAAACTCTTATTATCCTTATAGTTCAAATAAAGAGCTTTTTATATATTATACATGTATTGGTCAGATCTTAGAATTAATAATATCATGAATTAGTCGAACATTGCGTGAAATGGTAGCATTTCAAAGTTTCTTAAAGTGATTGCATTTTACAGTTGATTATATGACGATATAGCTGTGATCGTTTGGCGATATTAACAACTAAACACATCATTGATATTTCTAGATATTGTTATATGCCTAATATATGTATTCTAATATAAATATTCGCGGCTTTGTTGTGCTACTGAGTCACCCCAGTCCCACTTCAAGTTATTGTCTGAGTTCTAGAGTGTGGGGCGCTATCGTCGCGCCACAAGCGAAACATGTCGAAGCCTAAATCGCGCTAACAAAGTTCCAAAGTTAAAGCAGTATTTATAGTATAGCTCCGAACTACAACTCGGAGCATTGGCCACTCCCCGGGCAGAACTACTTGCCCGGTAGGAGATCTCCCCTTTTCTTTCCACCCGCCATAGTGGTGACCCCGACGTGATCTGCGACGTGAGCAGATATTTATTTATTTAATATTCTTTATTGCACACCATGCATAAATTACAGAAATTCTATATATACAAGAAGTATGCAATGGGCGGTCTTATTGCTGATAGCAATTTATTCCAGACAACCAATGAATGGACAGGATTGCACGAATATGACAAGGGCAGGGCAAATTGGTGTGTTTGAGAAAAAAAGGGATAAAAAAGAATAAACACATATACATACTATACATACACATACTATAAACATATATATGGAATGGAACGCAGCGTAATGAAGTGATCTGGAAGGAACGGAGCGAATGACGAATGAGTGAAAAAATGAGAGTGAGTGAGTAAGTGTAAAAAAAAATGGAGGAAAGGACGCTTGTAAAGACGCGCATGCAAAATTAATTAAATTTAATAAAGAGTGTTTTCAAGGTATTTCTGTTTTTACTGCACGCCCAACACTACATTTCTGGGGGCTCGTCCGGGATTTGTGCAGTAAAATCCCTCAGAAGACAGTGTAAGAGTTTTAGGCGAAATATCCGGTGGCTGGCGGCACGTGGTGACACGCGGCAGTGGCAAAGGCGGGGCGGCATTTTGATGAAGTTATTACAAGAAGACGAAACAAAGACGAATACCTATACCAAGATGAGCAAAGACGGAGAAGAGCGCAGAAAAAATCGCCAGGGTGATTTCGAAGATAGCATCGGCGCACGAGCTGAGTTTCGCGACAACATGCTACAAATGACTTCGGAGCTCATACCAAACTACTCAGGACAAGACGGTACATTCACAACGGCACGATGAACGCAGGAAATCGAAGATAATGCTGAAATATTCGGCTGGACTCCACTACAGCAATTATTAGTGGCGAGACGCTCGTTGACCGGCACGGCAGCGCTTTGGCTCCGTGCGGAACGACCGTTTAAGTCGTGGGATGACCTAAAAGCTGCAGTATTGAAAGAATTTCCTGATTCTGTCGACATCAAAACCATACACGAAATGATGAGCACACGCAAGAAGAAAGACAACGAAAGCTGTTTGGATTATATGCTGACTATGAAAGAGTTGGGAAAGAGAGGGAAAATGTCAGATTACGTGGCAATTAAATATATTGTCGATGTGATACGGAATCTGGAGAAAAATAAGATAATGCTATAGGGTGTTACTACGTACGCAGAATTAAAAGAAAAGCTACGTATTTACGAAACTGTAAGGAGTAAAATGGAAGAACGTCGTCGATCGGAGGCGCGCAGTCCCAGACAAAAACCATCTGAAATGAATCGCTGTTTTAGCTGTGGTGAGATGAATCATACGTCTGCACTTTGCCCATATAAAGAAAAGGGATTAAAGTGTTTTAAATGCAAACAGTTCGGCCATATTGCTAAGTCATGTCCGATGCATCATTCAATCATTCAAGTTCATAACGAAACAACAACGCCCGAGCATAGACGAAGCGGCGGAAGCCGGTTTCACTCGGCGACTTTCGGCAAAACTCGGTATCCGGCGACGGTACCCGAGAAAGAATGAAGGCAGCAGCAAAGTGACAACCTGAAGTTGAAGCGCATAATGTTCGGACGATCGATGAAGTCAACGGAAGAATCAACAACTCATTCGCAGGAAGTGAATGATCATTCCTCGTGTGATGACTATGTTGGCAGCCATGACGGCCCGCATCTGATAGCAGCGTCAACGTTAAACTCGGAAAACAACAACGGAGAGGTTATGCAGATTGTAAACAATACCTGCACCGACAAAACGGATACGTTAAAACCAGTGAAAATGATAACGGTGTGCAATCTTAGGGTTAAAGCATTAGTCGACTCAGGCAGTGACGTTAACATTATTTCATCAGTGTTACGAGGCATTAGGTCAGCCAAAAGCGGAAAATCACAATACTATTTTATCAGGGATTGGACAGTGTAAGATTAAATCATTAGGAAAGTGTTATTTACAATTTATTCCTGATGATCAACATTTCGATGGTGTCTTCCACATTATTAGTAGCGACTATATACCGTATAATGTAATTATAGGTCATGATTTTCTGAAAGGTGTTATTATGTTAATGAAAGACGGTGCAGTGAGGTTTTATTTGAAAGATGACGAGTGGATGAAATGTATGACTGTTGATAAGTGTGACCATGCTTTTTCTGTAGGCCCCATGACAGATCCTGAGTTGAAGAAACAAGTGCATCAGTTAATCTACGAGTATCAATATGGACAACCAGTACAGAAAAAGGATGCTCCGATACAGTTAAAAATAGTACTGAAAGACGACATCCCAGTGACGCATCGACCCCGAAGATTATCTCTAAAAGAGCAAGAAATTGTTGAAAAACAGGTATCTAAATGGCTATATAAAAAGATTATCCGGGTGAGTTTCTCTGAGTATTCTAGTCCAGTGGTTCTAGTGCAAAAAAAGATGGGACAACTAGGGTTTGTATAGATTATTTATTTATTTATTTAAGCCTTTATTTCCCAAAAAAGAAATACATAAAATTAAATATTTAACAAAATTTCATTTACATTTACAAAACCAATCATGCTTCAAAGAAAACTTCAACAAACATTTAGATATAAAATTTGCCAGAATTCAGAATAAATTTTGTAAATTATGCTCAATAAATCGTTATATAATATCCTTAAAATCAAATATCAATTAACTACAGTTTATAATTATTAAATATAAAATAATGAAATGCGATTACATTATAAAACAATTTAAATCCATTAATAATATTAACATTAATAAAATATGTAATAATAACAATAATAAAATATGTAATGGTTAATTATAACATGTTATGAAAATCAATTTACAGCAGATTACTTATGATTACATAATATTTAAATTATCACTTTTTTTTAACTAATCCTTGATATATTTTTTTTTCTTTTCCTTTTTTTTCTTATTTATTTGGGTACCCATTTGCGGGTGAAGGCCTCCTCCATCTTTTGCCATTTTTGTTTATCTTGTGCGAGTCTCATCCAGGTGTGGCCAGCTGTGGTCACAATGTCATCACACCACCTGCGCCTGGGCCTACCGCGTGGCCGTGGTACTTCGCGAGGGTACCATTGGAGGACTCTCTCACTCCAACGTCCATCTGTAGCTCTTGCAACGTGGCCTGCCCATCTCCATTTTAATTTACATGCTAGTTCTGCAGCATCTATTACTTTTGTTGTTTTTCTTATTTCTTTATTTTTTTGTCTATCTCGTAACTTAAGGCCTAACATGTTCCTCTCTATTGCACGCTGAAAGACCTGAAGTTTGTTTATTATTGTTTTTGTTAGTGCCCAGCTTTGATAGCCATAGAGTAGTGTTGGAAGAATAATAGTATCGATTGCTTTCTTTTTTAGTCGCGTCGGTATAGGAGACTTAAATATTTCTTTTAGTGACCAGTATTTTCTCCAAGCACTTTTTATTCTGCGGTCGACTTCATTTTCAGTTTGGTTTGAAAAACAAATGTTCTGCCCAAGATAGACATAGTTGTCTACATACTCTATCAATGTATTTTGCACCTTCATAGGTACTCTAACGCTGTTAGTTAGGAGACTCGTTTTTTCAGTATTCATATGGAGTCCACACTTTCGACTCTCTATATCTAGAGATATCAGCATGTGTTCTAGTTCAGCATGACTTTCACTGATAAGGATAACATCGTCAGCGAATCTTAGGTGGCTTAAATACTCTCCATTTATTTTTATGCCAATATTATGCCAATTAACTTGTCTAAAAACATGTTCTAAAATTGCGTTAAATAAATACGGCGAGATAGGATCACCTTGTCTCACTCCTTTCGGAATATTAAATGGTGTTCCTTTTCTCTTTAATTTAACCACAGCCTTGCTCTGTTTGTATATTTCCTTCAGAATTTTGATATATTTAATATGTACTCCTTGTTCTTGGAACGTCAGCCACAGGTATGTATGATATATAGAGTCAAATGCTTTTGAATAGTCTACAAAATCGATGTAGAATTTTTTGTTGTATTCATTATATCTTTCAATAATTTGTGTGACAGTGAATATGTGGTCATTTGTAGAAAAGCCCGCTCTAAACCCTGCTTGTTCTCTCGGCTGACTTTCTTCTAAAGTTTTTAAGATTCTTTTTAGTAACAAGCTGGTAAATAATTTATATATTGTCTGAAGTAAGCTTATTGGCCTATAATTACCCATATCTGATGGATCTCCTTTTTTGTAGAGAAGAGTAATTATAGCAGTTTGCCAGTCAGAGGGTATCAATTCTTTTGCAAGGATTTGATTGAACACAATTGTTAAGATAGGTGTAAGGGGCTCTTTGATCGCTTTTAGTATGTCATTGGTAATTCGGCCTTCTCCGGGACTTTTTAGTGTTTTTAGTTGTTGTATAGCATAGCTTATTTCACATTCTAAAAATTGCGGAACGTTTTCGCAGTCTGGTACGTCTAATTCTTGAGTTTCTTTTTTATAAGACATACGGCATTCATACAATAATGTATAGTATTTTGTAGCTATTTCTAATATTTGGTTTCTATTAGTTATTTGAGAACTATGTTTTGTTAATTGTGCAATCCAAGCTTTGTTAGAGTCTAACCTTTTATATGCTCTTTTAACAGACGCTCTCTTTTCCAGTTCTTCTTCAATGATTTTATATCGATGCTCTTTTCGACTATTATGTATTTGTTTTTTAATGAGTTTGTATAAGGCTGAAAGTTGTTTCTTTTCAAAGATTGTTTTATTTTTCTTTTCTTTTAGTAGTGTTCTTTCTTTTATAAGTTTAGCAATATTTTCCTGAATTGGTAGAGTATTTTTACATCTCTTTGGAAGATTATTGTTGCAGTCTTTGATTTTCGTTACTAAAGTGGTATATGTTTGTTCAATGTTTGTAAATTGTACTTGTTTAACGTTATCTCTGAATAAAAAAATTAGATATTCTTTTTCTGTAGCTGTTAAACCGGTAGTGGATCTCTTTCCAAAGTGTTTTCTTGATGAAATTCGTTTATGATTAAGTAGTATTGATGCTCTAACTAATCTGTGATCGGTAGGGTGTGTTGTTGATATCATTTCAATGTTGTGGATGCTTGTTTTATTTCGTGCTAGGATGTAATCAATTTCATTTCGTGATACTCCATTTGGGTGTATCCAAGTCCATCTACGATTTGGTTTCTTCTTAAAGTATGTGTTTGTTATATGTAATTTATTCTCGAAACAAAAATTAATTAGTGTGTTGCCTCTTGGACTTCTTTTACCGTAGCCCCATGGGCCCATAATTGATTTGTCATCAGTTGTCGGCATGCCGATCTGTGCATTGAAGTCCCCAACAACCAATGTGTCTTTATTAGTGTTATTTATTGCTTTTTGGAGATCCTTGTAGAATCTATCTAGGTCTTCTAATGATTATTGTTCCGTAGGTGCATACACCTGTATTATATTAACTGTTTTGCATTCAAAATTTAGCTCTAATCTAGCAACTCTGTTTGATATTGGTATAAAATATTTAATATTCATTTTTAATTCTTTTTTAATTAGAAATCCAACACCATTTCTGTTTTGATTTTGACCGTAATACATAAAAATATAATCTTTATATTCTTTAATTTCTTTTCCTTCTAGTTTCGTTTCAGAAAGTCCTATAATATGCCAATTTATTTCAGAAATAGCATTTTCCACTTCGATAAATCTTGACACATTTATAAGTGATCTCACGTTTAACGTAGCTATATATAGATATTTGTCTTTTTTGATAACAGTTTCTTTATGTTTACATATGGAGGGTTTTGGTCTATTACTCCCACGGGGACCAGCCGTGTTGGGAGAGTAAATGTAAGTTTTGTTAATGGTTATTGATTTAGGAGGAGGGACAGGTGGCTGCTACTGTTTGTTTTGAATTTCGTACTGAGAACCGTGAATATCGTGCTGATAACTTGTAGAAGAAGCGGGAGGAGAGTCTAGTTCAGTTTCTTTTGATAAAAAATATTTTCTCATATCGACTTTACTCTTCTTAACACTTCGATGCGCGTGTGAGGGTGATTGTCTGTTTTGTTGTATTGCGATAGAGTTGGTGGCTTCAGGTGATTTAGATGGTTTACTTTTTTGATATATTACACTGTCTTTATTCGTACCTAAGTAGACTATTTTGTCGCGTCTTAGCACAGCATTTTTACCCTGACTTCTAGCCATCTCCACTTCTTTCTGGAGCTCTTTTCGTATTTTCAGTACATGTGGTGTAAAATCTTCTTTAATATAGTAGTTAGTACAGTCTAAACGCTTTTTTGTTTTTAAAATTTTTATTTTAAGGCTTAATTTACAAAAAGTAATTTTAATTGGTCTAGGTTTTTTTCTCTTCCTACCTAGTCTTAAGGCTAATTCTATATCTTGTAAGGTACAATTTGCGTTCAAGTGTTCATTTAAAAAATTAATAATATTATTTTCTAAATCTTCATAACATTTTTCGTTTTCCTCTAGCCCAAATAAAACTATGTTTTTCATCCTCATTTGTTTTTCTATCTTTTCTAGTGCAATTTGTTGGTTATTGATAATTTCCTCCAGCTCTTCATTTTTTGACATAATTTCCTTAAATTTTAAGTTCATATTTTCAATGATAGGCTTTGAAATATCTTCTTGTAAACTTTTTAGTTCTTTTCTTTGTTCCGTTATATCATCCTGCATTTTTTTTAGCATGTTTGTTATTTCTTCCATATTGATAAGTGATTTTATTTCTTTGGGTATTATTAAGCGACCTCTTGTGTCAAGTTACTATATTTTTAATTGATTGTGTTTGATTTAGTTCGGTTTATATTAGTATCTTCAAACTCCACTAGGTGGGTTTTACTCGTAAGATCTCCTAATTAACAATAGATGGCGCAAACTTGATTAACTGTTTTTAAATGACTCAACGTATTGTTCGTTTGTTTAATTTTATAGGTTATAATTTTAAAAATACAGTTATTCGATTATTTTCACCATATTTTTTAGTTTCTTTGTATTTCATAAGTTTCTTTATAGCGAAATTTTAATGTGGAGTTACTTCACTTTGACTATCAAAACATATTTATAGTTATAAAGTTCAAAATTTACACTTACATATTTAAGTTTGAAATTAAAGGTTTTCCTTTTCACACTGATGTTACACTAATATTTGTCTAACTTAAACACTTTTGTATTCACTTAATAACACAAATTTTAACTTGTTTTGACTTAAATAACAAATTTTAAATTCAGTTTAAGTACGGAGCTAATGTGTTTACACCACACGCAGCGCCCTCCAAAGACACTTTGTCCATATAAAGAAAAGGGATTAAAGTGTTTTAAATGCAAACAGTTCGGCCACATTGCTACGTCATGTCCGATGCATCATTCAATCATTCAAGTTCATAACGAAACAACAACGCCCGAGCATAGACGAAGCGGTGGAAGCCGGTTTCACTCGGCGACTTTCGGCAAAACTCGGTATCCGGCGAAGGTACC